TTCGTGAGTAAAAAAAAAAAAAAAAAAAAAAAAAAGAGAGAGAGAGAGAGAGAGAGAGAGAGAGAGAGAAACAAAAAATAGCGAAGATAATAACTAAAGCCGCGCCCAGACAACAGTAACTAGACCTAGGTGATGTCTTCTACAGACATTAAGATATGTGCGGCTGAGATCATTCTAACTTTACTATTCATAACGTAATCACATAAAAGTAGCGGCATGCTTGTTTACCAAATAATTTACTCACATTTAATTCATATACAAAATCTAACTCAAATTTTTAACTCAATCCTTAATGTTTTTCATATAATTAAATAATACAAACCATCATTCTTACATATCACATCAATTTTAAATTTTAATTCACTGTTCATCCACTCACATAATTTTAACTACCTATCATTTTCAATCATTTCCAATCATTTTATCTCCTACTTTTACATCAAATCAATATTAATCATTTTATTTGTAGATATTATTTTAATACATTCTTAAAATCCCACTAACAACTAATCATACCACATTATTTAAAATTACCTCTAGTTAACGAAAACAATTCATTTTGAATGGATTATCTGGTAAACAAGCATGCCCTTATCATTCAAGGCTGCAGAAAAAAGCCATAAGGTTAAACCAGACGACTCACACAACGTCACATGCAAATAGAAGATCACAAAGAAGGATTGCGACAAAGACTAGACATCTTGAAAATCATCAAACTTTTTCGTAGTAAGGCTAAATCTCAAGGTGACATCAAATATTGATATAATCATCTAGATATAGTAACCGTAACGTAACGTCACATACCACTGTCTGCCAACGTACCCAAGCCACCATCACCCGACTGCACTTGCTGCCCAGACCCAGATTCCCCTTCACGACCCCCAAGCCTGAGAGAAATCCAATCCTCAGTGCCAACACCACCATTCGCGACATCTTTGCCTCTCGAATCCAACTGCGGTGGGCCAGACACGTTCGACGGCCTCGTTGGCAGAAATATCTGAAGTGCAGGGTCACTTGCTCCAAACGCCAGCGGATTATCCACCAATCCACCGTTCGAGTTTGAATTTTGACCGAGCTCAGGAAGGACCCCAGCAGCAGCAGATCCCATAACAGTCTCGTCGGCAGTCATAGTGTAAGGATCGTTATTAACGTCCACGTCAGATCCAAACAGCTGAAACCCCCCCTGACTTCCACATGGCAACGACCACATGTTCCCAAAATCGTCCTCGTTCGCACTGAAAATGCCGAGACAAGAATTCCCGCCATTTCCGTAGTAAGGAGGATCGGGAATTTGATCGGGTACGCTGATGTCAGCGGCTCCGGCAATCTTACATACAGCACCTCCGGATGATGTCAGCGGCTCGATTTCTTCTTCGTCTGAATCGCTGAGGACGATGACATCAGCATCACCGCCAGCTGGCGTGATGGATTCATACTCGGCCCCATTAACCACAGAGAAGTCGAGAGTGGTGGGCCCGCCAACCTGGTTCACGCTGGCGTCCTCATAGTCCCTACCGCTGCCAGTGGCACTGCTGCTCATGGGAATAATTATGTTCGGGCTGTTTTCCGGTTTGTTGATAATCCAACGGCCGTTAGGATTTTTTCTCATTTCTAATTTGAGAGCGATGGGGTGGCTATTGGAGCCCAGTTCTTGTTTGACCTGTTTGAGTTCGGGATTGGGTTTGGATTCGGCTTCTGTGGGTGCACAGATGGTACCATCTGGTGAATGCCATAGCCCGAGCTCGCCAAAGACTGTTCGATTCCCACCATCTACCTTAGCGCGCCAGGATCCATCGGGTTTTACCTCGATCTCTGCCACATCTTCCCCACATTTTTGCATCTATCAAATATAATTGAGTGAAAAGCATGTAATATGAAAGTTGATACAACAAACAACTTGAGCTCATGGTTTTA